TTAAAGCCCTTTCCTTCCAAGTGAGCCTCATGCCCAGATGGCACTCTGTGAATGCTTTGAGGCACGCTCAGGGTGTGTTTGATGTCAGTCCTTCCTGATTTATAAAGCCATAAATGCTCTGCTTAGGGAAAGAAAAGTAATATTAGGCTTCGGCTCAAAGACATTAGGAGAAAATCAGTGTCCTGTATCCCTCCAGCAGCAGGGAGGACATGCCTTCCCACTGGGCCACGGCCAAACATCCCTAAATGCAGCATGTCCTCTTGGCAGAGCAGTGGGGCTCTCCTGAGGGACGGGGGGACCGAGGCACATGGACAGAGACACTGTGAACCCCAAGTAATGAAACAAAGGAGAGAGATGCCCCTGGTGAGCCCTGAACACCAGCTGGGAACAGAGAGCCAGGGGTTCATATTCCATTTTTATGGCATGAAAACTGTAGAGTTAGACTCTAATATCAGAGACAAGGGCATTTGGTGCAAAAGAAATGCAACATAAAGCAGTTTTGCTCCCATGAGTACATTCTCATTTGTCCTGGAGCTTCAGGCGCAGAGATTTCACCTCCACACACAGACACAACTCAAGCTATGTCAGATCTTAACACCAGCCCAGAATGACCCACACGAACCCACCTGTATTTATATATGGTATGCACTTCTTAAGTTAAAAACTCATGGCATGGAGGGTGTTGTTCCTGAGATGGCTCTGAATAATAGTTTTATTAGTGACTGCTTCACCTACTGCCTTAGGGCTAAGCCACATGCCTCCAGGCCTCCTTGGAGAACAAGATGGTGGCACCATCCATGAGCCAGGAGAAACACTGAAATTACTGATAACCTGGTGTTTCCAGTGCATGCTCAGGTACAGTATTTTCTGTGCTTCTGTCAAATGCTGCTGCCACTGGAGGTGGCCTGAAAGGCCACTTTGGTGGTAATGGAACAGTTGGTAGGAGGAACCATGCTCTGGGTCACTGCCACTTCTGAACCAGGGCCTGTCCCCCACCTGTGGCTCTCAGCTTGAGTGCCCTCAGAGCCTGCAGTCAGGCACCTTCCCGAGCACCCTCATGCTGGGGAGCCTGTTCCTGCAGAACCCACGTGTGCAGGGGCGGAAGGAACAGGAGATGACACCACACACGTGTGAGGGTGACCTGACCTGCTCACACTTGCGGTGCAGTGACACTGGCTGGTGAGGGAGGAAGGGCTGGGCTTCCTTAGGCGCCAGGGCTCAGGTCTGTCAGTACCTGTGTAAGTTCAGCCATATGCACCCGCAGTTCCTGAGGCTGATATTTTCAGACGAGCTACGCAGGTCTATTTTAAGGGTTCTTCCTGCTGAAAGTCTGTGATGAGCATTAGAGCTTTAAAGCACTGCTCTGGGAAGCTATTATCTGTAGGTATTAATTATTGAACGCTATACCTTCTGGAAAAGTTGTTTCATCACTGGAAAGTGACCTTGCTAGAAGAGGCAGAGGGAAAGAGAGACGTATGGTGCCTCCTGAGAGCAAGTGGAGTGATGCGTGGCAAGAAGAGACACTAAAGATTTATTGTCTGTGGCAAAAGAAACACAGATCTCCGCTTGTGCAGTAAGTGTTTTTGACATCATATGCCGTAAAGAGTGATTGGATGCTGTAGTTAAAAAGTGTTTCACTGAAGGGAAATAATAGACATTTTCACAGTGCTGTGTCTATTAAGCGTCCGACTGCGTGGCCACGCAGCTGAGCTGGCCCTGAGAACTCCAGTGTCAGAATTCAGCCAGTTCTGAGCTAAAAGGAGCTGGATAATCCTGAGAGAGGACACCGAGAATTTATCTGTCTTGAAAGAGGATCCCTTTTGACCTTGGTGATGGCTGGTGCAGGTTCTTACTGCCTCACATCACACCACCAGAGAAGTCTAACATCAGCACTGTTAGGAAGCCTGGCACGGCAATTCCATTTATTAACCTGGGCCCGGCCTTTCCCCTGGAATTTCTCCTTTTTCCCAGCTGTTAGTGAAGCACTGCACTTGTCTCCCTGTGACACTGCTGGTTGGAGTTCTTGCATTGCTCAGGCAGCTTCAGTGGTTTAAAAACTCCAATCTAAAAAGGAGTTGGGTTTAAAACAAAAGCTAGGGAAAAGCCAGCACCCAGGCTCACTTCTCACTCTGTGGACACCTCTGCCAGGCTGGAGAGCGAGGCGTTGTGGCCAGAGAGCTCCTCGATAAATCATCATTAGGTACACGTGCAAATACAGCAGCCAGGCCCAGGCGCACAATTAGGCACCTAATTATGTTGAAAATGCAATTGCACACTTAGCTACAATGGCCACACGGCCTTGGGAGCTGCCTGGGGCCTGTCCCGGCCCAGCAAGGCGCCGGAATGGCACCTCTGGGAAGTGCCCTGTGAGGGGGGAAGGTGTTCAAGGTGTTCAGGAGTCTGCCACGGTCTGCCCGGGCACAGCCTGTGCTTGGGCTGCTTCTCCTGCCCAGGGGAGTGACAGTGATGGAGGGGAGAGCACAGAGCATGGGTGTGGGACCCTCATCCAGCTCGGAATGAGAGGAGACAGGCCGCAGCACAGATGTGTTACTTCCTTCCCTTTCCGCTGTGGCTTCTGTCTGCAAGGCAAAGAGGGGAACACCCAGCCAAAGTGGGATCTGTGATTCAGCTGACAGTGTGACTGTGTGACTGTAACTGCAGCAAGGCCGACTCCAAAGGAAAATGCAGTTTAAAATAACATTGTCACTGTTACAGAGACAGCATTTTCTGTATGAAAATGTCTGATCTGGGAGTGTTGTCAATGCCATGATCCAGGTGGGGCTGGACTCTCTGGCCACTGCTTGGTGTGACATGATTCCCACAGGCAGGGACCACATGTGAGTAATAGTGTGTGACCTGTGGGCTGAGGCTGGGGAGTGGGGACACAGCTTTAGCCTTTCCCATTTATCCTGCACAGGTGAGGGGCCATCACTGGCTTTGTTTCTGTTTACCTCTGCCAAGAGTTTTCAACCTGCACTTTAAAACCTGAGCTGAGGACAGCCAAGTGAAGAGCCCAATTCCCAGTCAGGAAAACTGAATTACATTTGTCCTGTGCCTGTTCAGCATCCTACAACCCATTTCCATTGTTCTCAGCCTTGTCAGGACTTATTCAAACCATCACACCTCTCAGTAAGTGCTTGGGCCGTCCCGCACAGGCACAGCGTTAGCACAGCTCTTTACTGCCACGTCTCCAGGTGTGGGCAGCATGGCAGAGCCACTCTCTGCCTCACCTAAGGCACAGTTTTAGAAGCTGGGAAGGCTGAACACAGTCTGTCTGCCTGTTGCCAAGAGCGACAAGTCGGCAAGCGCTGGTATGTAACCTTGCTGGGGACAGGGAGCACCTGGGAGGGGCTCTGGGGCCAAAGGCACACAGCCCACGTAAGGGACAGCAGGACCACTGGAACTGCCAAGTGACGCGCTCGCTGAATGACTGAATCAGTTCAGAGAGGAAAAAGCTGGATAGTTAAGGCTGACTGTGTGTCCATTTCTGTGCAGACACAAACCCACGCTTGCTTTTAGGGAGAGGACAAGGGCCCTGAACATGCAGAGTGCTCGGAGATGGGTCCCAGCAGGTCCCTGTCCCCATCCCTGTCCCTGTCAGCCACAGGGTCACTCCAGGGTAGAGTCAGAGACACGGGACATCCTGCCAGCACCGGGGGATGTGCTTAAAGCATTCAAGAGCTGAACAGCTATTGCATTTAAACTGCCAATGTCTTGTGCCAGCAGTCCTGTGCACTGCCCATTGCCTGCCTTTCATGGGATCCTCCCAAGTTCAAACCTGCCCTTTAGTTCCCTGACCCAAGTACTTTAACTTTGCCCTTTGGTGGGGACCAGATGTTGAGCCAGATGGGGAAGTGTGAGAATCATTTTGCCTGTGTTTAGGAATATATATATATATACATAGATACACACATATACGCACCACACACATATTTGTATTCCCCTCCCTTATTATCCTTGAAATATAGTATTGTGAAAATCAGAACCTTTTTCTCCTACTGCATTTTGTTTAATGCTCAGGTAATACAGTTGTTTTTAATGACAGCAGTACAGTAGTTAGTCTTGTTCAATTTATTAAGCACCCTGAATAAGCAAGAAGTAGCCCTTAACCTAAAGCAGTCCTTCTTTTTAATGCTATGGTGATTCCTCTGAAGGAAGTTGAAGGAATTCCTCACTTGGAATTGAAAACTTATGCTAGAAGTCTGAATAATACTTGTTGCAGAGAACTTACTAGCCAAGGAGTGAAGGTACATTCTCCCCCCCTTCCTCCTTTTTTCTAAACACTGTAATATCATAGAACTACTAAAATTACTGCAGTTTTTTAGTTTAAAAATGCATGCAATTAATTTGTACAAGCTGAGGTGCTACTTAAAGGAACTTTGTCTACTTCAGGGGATCTTCTTAATTAGGTTTATTCTGTGAACACAATAAACCCAGGATTTCTGCATGGATTTAGGAGGAGAGGTTGCCTGGGCCTCATTTCCATCCATTTTCACCCTGCCATGGTCAGGCCATCAGCTGAGAGGAGTCTGCATTTCATTCTTGTGCTCACCATCAGTACTAAATGCTAAGAAAAGACATTATTTTGCTTAGGAAAATCCAATGTTTCACATTTTTCCCAATTTCTTGCCTACATTTCCAAAGAACGGGTCCATGTCCCAAAATCCCACCAAAAAATCCAACAGTTCTTCTGGTTCTCATGGGCACCAGTCAGAAACTGTATTTGGAAAAGCCAGTTTGGCTGCACTTTGATCCAGACTGTGTAGGTGCAAACACAGGGTTCCCTGGGTTAGAGATGCACCTGCACCTTTAAGCTCTTGCATTCCTCTCTCCTCCTCAGGATTCCCCATCATTTGTTACCATCCCTATGACAGAGGAGGAGCCCAGGTACTGTATTTTCTGATTGTCACTACCAAGTCTGCAGTGATTTATTCCTATAGGCTCTAACTGAATTAAAATCTTAATTAAGCTTATGCCACTTTTTTCTTCGTTTTAATTAGGTACAGCCAAATCACTTGTCTGGGGGAAGGAGAAAGATAAAGAGCAGAAACCCTTTATTCTGCTCTGTACTTGTAGTAGCGAAGCTGTGGTGAGAATGTCCTCCCAAAGAGATACCACAGGGGAGGACAGGTGACACAGGGAGGACAGTGCTGTGGCACAGGAACCTCAGCTGTTCACAGAAATACTTTCCTTGTTTCCTGGTGTCATTCCACAACGGGCTTCTACAGTCCTTACTTCAGTTGAAGACACCAGGAGATGACAACATTGCAGAAGTGAGTTTTTGATGCAGTCAGGTTGGAAAACCTTTAAGACCACTGAGCCAGCTGGCACTGCCAGGGCCACCCATGTTCCCAAGTGCCACATCCACAGACCTTTGAACACTCCATGGAGAAGCACTGCTGCTCCATCCTGCTCATGTTCCACCCACAGCAAACCTTACAGAGATCACAGGCTTTGCCCCGAACAAATTGGAGGGTTGTACTAAGCTCTCCTAAAATACCGTGTGCTGCCATCAGCAAAGTGTAAATCCCTCCTTTTAGCAGTGGAGGGATTTTTGTTTGCTCTTCTTTCCATGTTACCCATTCCTTTTGCCTCAGCCAGCCTGTCCACAGGCCACAGCTCTGCAGAAGTGCAAGCTGGCTCTTTGTGGGGAGACCCTGGCTGAGCTCATGGCTCCTCTGCAGGGTGGAAGCTTGCCTTTCACCCGCTGTTCCATGGCACCCGTGGCAGGGGAGTGGCCATCCCTGCCAGTTTCCCTGGTCAGCAGGGGAATGCACTTCCACTGGGAAAGCTGCTATGGCAGGGCTGGCGGGCTGAGGCTTTCCAAGGGCTTCAGGGGTTGGGAAGCGTTTCAGGGGGACCTGGGGACTCTTTGTGCTTCTGTGAATCTCCCGCTCAACGTTTACATGTTGACATTTTCTACTTAAGGGGCCTTTTGGCATCTCTGGCATTAATTTATAATGCTGTGGTAGTGGGGCTGGAGCATTGCAGGAGCAGCCTTTACTTTAGAAAGACTTTGCTCAGACTGGAGTCAGTGCAGAGGCTGATCACATTCCAGCTGCTCCTGCTGGGTTTTGGTTTCTTGGATTTTTAATTTTTTTTCTGATTGTTTGGCTAGATTCTGCAAGTATATCTCCTCACTGTATTTCCCAGTATCTTTACATATCACACATTCTAATGGAGTGTTACATGATACTGGCAGGATTCTGTGCACCTCCCTGTGTGAACTGAGCCCCAGGAAAAAAGGGCTTGAATTTGTGTACTTGTTTGCCAGATGTACTTCACAGACTCTGAAACTTCCCTTGGTTCGTGCAAAGGTGTTTTACACAAGCAAAGTGGGGCTTAAAAGGGCCATTTATGTCAGCAAGGCTTTGCACAGGCAAAGGACAGACCAGCTGGATTAAATTCTATTACAGCTGGTACAAGGCCCCTTACAACATGCCCTGGGTCATTTAAAAATTTTAGAAATCATTTAGCTTCAATCAGCCCTTCACTAACTGCAGTTAAATGCATGTAGCCATTTGAGGACAGTTCACAAAGCTATTTTTACTCATTTAACTACACCTGTTTGAAAATATAATTTGAAATATGCAACTAATCACAATAATTGCACCTATGATTCATTCTTGCCAGAGAATTTTTGTTTAGAAGTTTCTAATTCACCAGTGCAGGCTTTAGTTCTGTTATGGTTTCAACTCCAAGGAGCTGACATCTCCATCAGTGAGAGGATTTAGGAAAGGCACTGTTCTACCCCCGTTAAAATTAAATTCAGGTTCAGTCCGTGTGGCTGCAGCTTTGGAAGATAATTGTGCACACCTCATTGCTTTTTACTCCTCAATGTTGCTGTGGTCATTTACCAGGTAATTCCGGAGACAAGGTCTGAATTACCCGTGATTTCATAAAGTTTAAAACATCCACACCTAGCGCGAGGATGCCGGGGCATCGCCTCCCCCGTCCCAGACAGGGAATCCAGCAGTCATGGAAAAGCCCCAAACCCCGGGGAAGCAGGTCCCCGGGCAGTGCATGGCTCAGTTCTGTGTACAACAAACATGGCGTCGCCATGGCAACCACCCCGAAATTCGGTTTTATATAGCAGTGACAAACCCTGCCGCCTTTCCCAAAGTCACCATTTAGCACGGCATTCTCACACCTCACCTCCATGTAACCATTCCGTGCCATTTCCGTGCTCTCACACAGGGATCTGTGGGGGGGCTGTTCCTTTCCTCTGACCAGTCAAACTAATCTGTACCTCCTGCCTCAAGCTTGGAACACACTAGGTGGGATAATTCTGATCTCTTTCAAATCCCTTAGATCTCTTGTCCCCTCCTCCTGCTCACGTTGCCAAGTGTCTCCTCAGGCAGGAGGCAGGAGCCAGCCTGGAGTGAGGCTCCCAGTGGCAGTGTGTGGGGTCTGCTGTGCCCACACACCTGGCCAGCTGGGCCAGGGCTCTCTAGCAGAGCTCAGCTCACCAGGTGAGGGGGTAAAGCTCCTTTGGGGAAGGACAGCTCTGGCCCAGTGCAGGCAGGGATTCTGGGAGCAGCCCTGGCCCTGCTCCAGGCTCTGGGAATGCCCTTGAGCATACTGCTCCTGGTAGCACTGTCCCCCAGCCCAGGCAGATATGAAATAGTGGGAAGCATGTTCCTTCACGTTTCAGCATTGCAGGATGGATCCCTGTCCTGCCATGGCAGGCCCCTGCTGGGCAATGCACCCCTGGCAGTGCTGTGCCTGAGTGTGTGCCCACCCCAGCCAAGCCTTCCATGCCTCCACAGTGAGGAGCAAACCCCACGTAACCCCAGCTAGGAGGGGAGGGACCTAAACATGCCACATGCTGCTCCTTTTCCACTTGCATCAGTGCAGCTTTTCAGGAGGGGCCACTTCAAGTATTACCCAAGTATTCAAGACCAATTCCTAAATTAAGTGCACGGGCTTCCTTAATTCCAAAGCTCACAACTTCCATTACCACCTCTACCAGGCCATGTGCAGCCTTGGCCAGCTTTATCCATGCCCTAAACAAGAACCAGATGTTCCCTCTCTCCATAGCTCCTCTCATTTATTCCCCGTTCTGAGATTGCCCTCAAGTGTGCTGCTCCCCGCCTGGTAAAAATCTACAGAAACCCAGAAGCTTTGGATAATGAAGCAAACATATTTTTGTGGTGTGGGCAATTTTTTTTTCAGTCTGCTGCTAGTTTTTAAATATAAAGTATAGCATATGTTTAACACAGAACATATGGAAAGAAAGAAAAAGCAAATCTTGAATTCCAAGTATCATATTCTTAGTGGAAAAGACTCTACAGTGTGAAAGTGGTCATTCAGAATGAAACAAACCCCCCCCCCCCCCCACTTATTATATATAAATATTTATAAACCTAATTGCAAGTAGGAGAGTTTGCTCAGTCTGGGCAGTGTCCAGACACACACACACAGGTGAGTCCTCCTTTGAGAGGGACCTGTTTGAACACCAAGGGTGCTCAGCTCAGGGCACTGCTCAGCCCCTCTGCCAGGAGCTCCTGTGCTCCTTCCCTGATGTAGGTTAGGCTGGGTAAGGCACATTATTTTTCTTGACAGACTGACAGTGCACCAATTTAATTAATTTTTAAGCCAGATAGTTCACTTCTAAATTCTTAGCAGACAGTTCTGTTCAGTGTAAGAACTCTTCCATTTGTATTTTTGTCTGCTCTTGTATTTTGTACCTGCCTGTGTAGCACACGTTGATCCAAACTGTCAGCTGAGAGTACACACAAACCTTTTTCTTGGGTTCAAGGGAACTGGTCTTAAACCACAAATACAGTGAAGTGAGCTTTTAGTTCACAATCTCTTACATCCTCAGACCCCACTGGGACCTCAGAGCAGTTCGGTTCTTGGCGCAGGAACGGCCGCAAACGCGCCCCTCTCCCTTTAGTGACGGGAGAATCCCGGAGAGGCTGTTTCACACCCAAGGTTTTCCAGCAGGTTTTACTCAAAGAGAAGGCAAATGGGTAACCCAGCACAGCCACCCTGCATCCCTCCTGCCTCCAGTGCTCACAGACCCTCAGTGCTCTCTGACAGCCCACGGCACTGCTCGGGCCCCGCCCGGCCATAGTGGAAACACGGGACAGTGCAAAGCCCAGCGCTGACCCCAAACTGTTCCAGACTGCAGCCAATGCTTCTCTCGAGTCCTGGCAGTTTGTCTCTCCTCCAGAACACAAGGATGGGGAGTGCTGATTTGAATGCCACAACAGGTATTTATTTCTCTCTTATTTAGAGAGAAAGTTCCAGAAAGGACTCGGCAGGTCTCCTCAGCAGCAGCAGCAGGGAGGGACCCCAGTGCAGGTCGGTGCTCCCCTGTGCCACCAGTACCAGCAGCACACAGGCAGCTCCAGGTGCCATCCTTACTGACTCTGCCTCCTTTCCCCTTTTTCTGTTCTCTCTCCTTTTGTGTGCAGTCCCAGATAGCTGCCAGTCACTTGGCCGGGCTGGCTCACAGAAGGTGCAGCAGGCACAGATGGCACTAATGCATAAATGTGATCTAGCAAAGGGATGCCAACACCAACCCCCAACAGGTTCCAAGGAACTGCAGTGCACTTACAGGGATACGAGGGTTGGCAAGGTGAAAGCTGAGATTTGCAGGAGCTCACTATTCCCAAATCAGCAACAGAATCCTACAACAAATGAGCAGATTTATTTATTAACTTAAAAAATGCACGTAATGGCACGATCTCTGGGCATGTGTGTAACAAAGCCTCTCCAAACCCCCCACTCGTTATATAAATTATACTGAGCAAAGGAAAGAAGGGAGAAGGGGAAAGGTGGGAACTGAAAACAAGGACAAACTGAGGAGCATGTACACACTCCGGGGTTTTATGGGAGAGAAATATGGGCAGCACAGAGGGGTTGGCAGTCAAAGGATCTGGACAGCGTCTAGAAGCGATGGAGCAAACCCCATAAACACCCTGTCCATCCTCAGCACTCAGAGCACACTAACATCCCAACAAACACACATTTTTAGTAGTAGCTGGCAATGGATACTTAGGAAAAATGCACAGGGAAGGGAGTAAATGCAGTGTGACTGTGTCCCCCATGGGACACCTCTCCCACCTGCCAAAGAACAGGAGCATTGCCACAGGCACACTGGTAACACTGACTTCCAGTGAGCCCAAGGCAGGAATAGAGGGCACCCCAGTGCACACATCTGGAGGCTGCCAGCCTGGTGTGTGACAGGCCAGCTGCTGGGGGGCCCAGAAGGAGCCCCTGATGGACACCACACTGTCACCGTACAGATCTCAGTACCGTGAGCCTTACACAGCTGACTGGAAAGGAATTACTCCCGATTTTCCACAAGGCACATGAGAGCAGAAGCAGAGCCTAAAAATTAACAGAGCTGGTAACTGTTAAGTGACCGTGGTACCAGCAGGGGAATTGCAGCAAATGCCCTGGTAGTAGGAAATCAGAGACTACTACTGGGGGGCGGGATGTCCAAATATCTGGAAAGTTTGGATTACTAATCCCTTGGCATTCCACCCACAGTCTAACAATGTGCTGAGGGGTCTGTGTGCAGGAAGGAGAGTTTACTCTCCTTCCAGGGGAAGGTGAGTGCCAGGGGAGCCGACATGGCTGAGGGGTGGGGAACACCCTGGCACCCACGTCCTTCCTGGGCCCACGCTCTGTGCCACCAGTGCTGAATTACCCTGGCCACCGGACACAGCTGGGTCACAGTGGCATCTAGAGGGCTGCCATGTGCAGTGTGTGTGCAAAGCAGGGGTCCTGCTGGGCTCTCCTACCGTCTGCAGAGCCAGACCCAGCTCCAGCTCCAGCCAAGTGGGTACAACCCCAGAGAGCTGCACCTTCCCACCATGTTGAAGCCTTGCTAGTCTTTCTCCTAAGAGACCCGTTAAAACTTAAACCCCTGCCTTAGTGCTTCACACAGATTCACATTTTTCCGCAGAACTTACAAAGTGGATTTTTTGTCATTAATAATTGCGTGACAATTAAAATAATTTCCATAGCGTCCTGAATGCCACAGAACGGGGGTGCCCTCTCTTCTTACAAGCCATTGTCATAAGCCAGTCAGATGCTGTATGATCCACAGGCCAGGATTTGGCCGTGTCATTCCTCTGTTACGGGCTCAGAACGTGGCCCTGGATGACTTACAGACTTGATGCTGTAGAGCACTTGGGTCTTAAATCTCTGAGCCATCTGAAGAGGATGATGTCTCTTCAGAAAGGCTGAGCTTAGAGAGGTACATCAGGAAAAGGACACTGGGAAGTATTCCTAAAGGAAGGGGAGTTTAGGAGAGGCTTGAGTTGGGGTCATGATAGAAGTTTGAGGAGAACAGTTCCTCTTCTCAGTTCCGGTTTATATGTTGCTACCCCTGATTTCAGAAAGGAATAAATTCCATTATTCTCATGGTAGGTGCACAGAAGGGAGGAATGAACAATGGGATGTTTGACTTGTGCTTTAGAGGTTGCTATCCCTAGTAACTGCATATTTCTGATATTTTTTTGCCTTTTTAGATGAAAAAAGCAGCAAAGCACCAGGTTTGGATGGTTTCTGGTTTTAATGGGCTTAAAACTGGGCTCTTTTTCTGACTCTACAAGGCTTGAAGTGTGATGCATCTATAGTAGCAGATCATGTATTTTTTTTTCTCCCTAAAAAAGACATAGAGGACCCAAGGTGTCATTTAGGATGCTGACACAAGGACAGTTCTTGGCACTAGAGATCAGGCCTGCTGTCAGTCTGGCTGGAGTTCCCCATAACATAAATGAGATCCCCATTCATGGCAGGATTCATCCCAGAAAGTTTTGAAAGAGCTCAAAGAGTCTTCTCTGAGACATATCTCAGAGAAAACCTCTCTCCTGCCCCTTCTCCCTCTGCTGCAGCGATGCATATATGGTGCAGGAATGAGGGAAGGGCTCTTGGAGCTTCACCTGGAAATGAGGGTCACAATCCCACCCCTCTGGTTTCCCACAGGAGGAGGGAGCTGTCCAAGGGACAGCTCTGTGTGTCACTCTGGGATGGCAGGAGATGTGT